TCCCCCGGGGCTCACCGGACACGCCGGAATCGCCAGGTCCGTGAGGACGCGCGGGCACGGACCCGAGTCAACCCACTCGAAAGGCGGGAATCCTCTTCCCCCTGGAGAAAAGTCACAGAGGTTGCTGAAGAGCCTCTGGGGGGAGCATAGTGGATGAAACGACCCCACAGAAGCGCCCTCACCGCATATCCGATCCGGCTCCTCCCGGGAACGACGGCCCGAACGGCCTCCAGGACCCGGCCGTGCCGGGCGGCCCTGCGGCCCCGGGAAGCGAGCGGCGCGCACCGGGCCTCACTCAGCAGGCCCCCGGCGGGCAGGCCAGACCCGTCCTGTGACTCCCTCTTCCACCCACTTCCCTCCCCTTCACGCCGGGCTCACCCAAGCCGCTCCAGGCCGGAGCACAAGAAACATTATCCGCGAGCCGGCAGCGGCGAAGACCGTGGCGAATTGTGACGTCACTTCCGCTTCCTGTCTGGGGTTGGGAAGGGGCGGGGCTCCAGCGTGGGCGCGCCAGCGCACGTTCGGCCGCTTCAGAGAAATTCCGGTTTCCTCCTGCGTGTGTGCGGATGGGCTGCTGGTCGGCTGGGCGCGGGCGCTGCGCCCCGAATCAGGCCCTGGGACAAGGGTGGGGCTCGAACTAGCCGTATGGGCGGAGCTACGGGCGCAGGGTGCGGCCTATCCCTGGGGGCGGGGCTGGAGGTGGGATGAGACCCAGTGAGTATTTGGATTCCTAAATATTCAAGCCCGAAGGGCGAGGCTGCGGGTAGGGCCCCAGCCCACAGCGAGCACATCAAAAGGATTTCTACCTGCCTCTCCCCTCGTTCCTAGAGCCTTTCAGTGATTCTCCCGTACTGATAATGCTGCCAATCCGTGAAGTGGTCTGTCTCATCCAACCAAAACCGTCTTTAGGCCTTTGTTTGAAAGAGACACCATGCTCAACTCTAAATTCTAAAACTGATTCTTTTGGGTTTTCAATGTAATGACGTTTTCTGCAAATCTTTATTTTTTTCCTCTTCCAGTATGTATTTCTCTTTTTATTTATTTGAAATAGCACTGAATACTGGGCATTCTTAACTTATTCAGGAATAGATCTCAAGTTTTTCTGGTAATCATGTTTGCTGTGGTTTTCAGTGGATGGCCTTTGTGGAGTTAATAAAGATTTTTAAATTTAATAACATTTTATCAAGAGTTGTTCATATGCACATTATCAAATGTGTTTTATGCATCCATTAAATTGATAATGATTTTGCTAGGTTAAGGTTTCATCTGTTGTACAAAATATTAAATTTATGTAGCCAAAGAATCTTTTTAAAAATAATGTCTGTTTCCTGCCTTGCCTAAAATGTCTCTTCCAAGTCTGCACACAGATTTTGTAATTTCTTAAATTTATTTCTTTTAAAGACATTTAAATCTTTAATCCTCCTCAAAATTATTTTGGCATGTGGCTGCAGGGTAGTGGATCTAATTTTTTTATTTCCTCCAGAAAATATGGCCAATTGTTGTAGTACCACTTACTAAAAAACTATTCTGGATCTACTAATTTGAAATTCCACCTTTATTAAATAATAAATTCTTATATATGCTGTTACCAGTTTGTAGACTCTTCTGTGCCAGTAATATAGTTATGCCCAAATCATACTCTTTAGATTAGTTTGTTTTAATATTTAGTGGTAAAAATTTCATGGTAATTAATATATGTTGCATCTTACTGCTCTAGGTGCTGAAACTGAGGATGAAAGAGTTAAAATTTCCCTGCATTAGGGTGAAACTGTGCCTTGTACCCACAAGGTTAAGGTGGGAAACAAAATAACCAAAGTTTCTGAGCTTGCCTTGCAGGACAGCGGGAGGACCACTGATAACAGAGGAACTTGCTGACAGCTCCTCGCCTGATTAAGCATGTTGCAGGAACATTGAGAAGCTAAAATGACTGATTGTAAACTTGAGATGTCAAAGACTGCAAATCCACCGCACGCAACACATAGAACAGACAGTCATGCCTATGCAGAGGACTCTTAGAACTTCAGCCCCTAAGGCCACATGCTCCCCCTCCCCTACGTAAAACCCCAAATAAAAACCCTTGCTTGTAGCTTAAAATCCAAAAGAACCCTTTGGCTGTCAAACTCCCATTTCCCTCCTCCCTTAACATCTGGGCAACCACAAATGTACTTTCTAGTCTCTACACATTTGCTTTTTCTGGACATTTCATGTAAATCAAATCATACAATCTTTTGCCAGTAGCTTCTTTTCACTTAGCATGTTTTCAAGGTTCATGTATGTTGTAGTGTATATCATTCCTTTTTATTGTTGAATATTCCATTGTATGGATAATTATGTTATTTATATATTCTGTATACAAGTTCCTTTTCGCATACATGAATTGCAAATATTTTCTCCCATTCCATGGGTTGTCTTTCAGTTTCTTGATGTGTCCTTTGGCGTACAATAGTATTTAATGTTGATGATTGACCTTTGACGTGCAAAAGGCCTTAATTTTGGTAAAGTCCAATGTATCTATTTTTTCTTTGGTTGCAAAGTGCTTTTTGTATCACATCTAAGAAACTATTACCAAATCCAATGTCATTAAGTTTTCCCCATATGTTTTCTTCTAGGAATTTTGTAGTTTTAGGTCTTATGGTTGGTCTTTATCCATTAATTTTCGTATATGGTGTTAAGGTAAGAGATGGAAAGCAGTAACATTCCACTTCATCTCATATGATGGTTAGCAGTGATTGCAATTTGCATAGTCTAGGAACTCTCAGCTCATCCCAGGGGATGGAAATAGTTATTTATTTTCAGTTTTTAAAACAGGCAAAATTGAATTATTATGTGGAGAAGCAGTAGAGATGAAAACCTCTTTTTATTATGTTTATATAATAAGTTTTAAGCCTTAAAGGCCCAGTTTTAACATACATTGGGCCATATTAATTATTTTAACTAAGTGTCCATGGAATCACATTTTATCAAGAAAATTCAAAAATGCCAAAGACCTACCATAATTTAAATTTATTTTTCATTGTGTCAGGGCGTCTATGCCTAAGATGGGATATTTTAGGACAATGGGTACACTGACTGTGGAAAATTTAGGCAAGGCTACAGTTGAAGTGAGGTACACCTATTTTCCTCTATTTTATTTTTAGTTACTTTTTTATAATTATAGGGGAAATCATGTTTAAATTTAGTGGGATCCCCAGGTGTAACTATAATTTGAGACCAAGTCTCGTCAATTAGTATATTTTAGCAAATGTTAAATTTAATTTATAACATGTTGTGGAGGCACAAAAGCCAATCACAGTGTCCCTTTTATCTTTTTGATATATAAATTTTTAAATACAGTCATGCATCGCTTAACGATGGGTACACATTCTGAGAAATGTGTGGTTAGGCGATTTCATTGTTGTACAAACATCATAGAGTATACTTACACAAACCTAGATGGTATAGCCTACTACATACCTAGGTACCATATTAGTATCATATATGGTACTAAACTTAGGGGACCACCATTGTATATGCAGTCTGTCATTGACTGAAATGTCGTTACATGGTGCATGACTGTATATAAATTCTTTACATATTTGTTACATATATGATAATTATATATAACTTGTTATGTAAGTTTTAGTATATAAATTTTTAATATATAAATTTTGGTTTTCCAGTTGGTTTGACTTATGGATCTTTGTTTTTAGTTCTATTTGTCTGTGTATATATAATTATAATTTATTTATATACATCAAATATTAAGTATTACATATATGTATATAATTTACTTATTTACCTTTTATTTTCTTCCCTATTCTAGGGGTTTATTTTTCATTGTTGTTTTTAAATCAGTAAGCAATCTAAGACTAGCATTATGTTTGCTAGACCTGACAGCTACTTGGTACACAGAATTTAAAGTTCCCTTTTTTTTGCAAGGAGGGCATTGCTTGCAGCCACATAAAGCCCAGGCCTTTATACTTCTTTTTTTTTATTGTTGGTCTCTTGTCTTTCCCTGTCTTTTCCTTTAGGTATTTACCTGATAAGCTCCTGATGGTCCTGAGTGGCCCCTGCTGTGAGCAGCAGCCTCCCTTTCTAGATTGTCCCTATCAACTTCAGAGGGACTGGAGTCAACATCCAAGAGAGCAACATGAGGGAATCCCAATTTTGTAAAAATTTAGTTTTTAGGAAGATGCTCTTACATGTTGATAAGCAGTGGCACTCAAGAGAGCCCAAGGACATTGACCAGGAAGTTTACAAACGTCCTGAGGTTTCTTAGGAGCAACAACAAAATGCCCCACCCCTTTTCCTCTTTTATTAAACATTGAGCCACCAGTCCCCATTGATCAGATCCCTCCTATCCCACAAATCATGACAGAAGCAAAGCAAGGAACAACAGAGAGATGCAACAGCTGCTGGTGTCTTTGCTGGGGAACCCCTGATCTCTCTGTCTCCCACAGGGCATGTCATGGCCGAGGATATCCCTCTTGGTGTTGCAAGGAACATCATAATTAACGTGCCGAGGAAAGATAAGTTGTTTCTGATTGTCTTTATAAATTGATAGGGAGAAAATGTTATCAGCTAGGTCAACAGCTCACATTTATATCAAGTGAATTAGTGAACATTCATTATTAGGGAAAAAGGGTGGGCACTATATAAGAATGAAAGGACAATTTAGCAGAAACATAAAATGACTACACTTGTATGCATCCAGTTATATTGCCTCAAAATAAAAGAGAGAAGAATTTTAAAAATAATCTGACTACCCACAGTCATAGTGGAGCATTTTAACATAACACTCTCAATAAAGGACAGATGAGGAGATAAGGTCTGTAATGATACAGATGTAAAAAACACAATAAGATTTATCCATTAGATACACTGAGAATCTATTATACCCAACAATTACAGAATACACATTGCTTCCAACCATAGTTGAAGGATTCATAAAACTTGACCAAATATGAGATGTATCAGGTGAGACTGATATCCATTGTAACAGAATCTTCCCACAAGAGTGGTTTAAACCAGGTAGGAGTTTATTTTTCTCATGTTCCATGAAGTCCAGAAATAAGCAACCAAGGGTTGGTACAGCCAAATAATATTGTATGTCACTGTTGTATAATCAGTAGCCTATGACTGTCAGCCTCTTGGTCTATTTTCTAGGAAAGAACAGACAAGACGAAGGGCAAAGGGTAAAGAGAAGATGCCAGATGAGATGCTACCATTTCCATGGGCATCTTTAGAACCCACAAGCAGTGACCTTTGCCTATTGCTAATTGGCCAGGACTATGGGCTTATGGGCAGTCATAGCTGCAATGAAAGCTGGGAGTTAAGTCCTTAAAAAATTGTCCACCCTGCCAACTTGAACACAATTGTAGTTTTGTTACTTTAAGGAAGGAAGGGAGGAATGGATATTGGGATGGCAACTTGTAGTGTCTCACACATTAGGCCACACAGAAAGTCTCCAACAATTTTCTGTTTGAATCTATGTTATATAGAATCTACATCACAAAGATCATGCATGCTGTGCATAGTTCAATTAAGTTACAAATCTAGGACAAAAAGATAATTAAAATATGATAGAGTCTGCACATTAAAAAATAAACTTCTAAATAACCTATAGGTCCAAGACATCTTGATGAGGATCAGACAATATTTAATACTAAATTACAATGAAAACATTATATATCAAAACTTTTGTGATGTAGATCAAGGAGAATTTAGAGTGCAACATAACCTTTAACACTCAACAGTTAATGAGTTGTTGCACTTTAGGGATGAAATACTCACTGATAGAGTAATCACAGAACCATAACATTTATAAGGTTGGTCCCAGTATAATGTGAGTCAAGAGTTGTGCCTACTAGCTTTCTACATTGGTCACAATGTAGGTTTCTCTCCAGTGTGAGTTCTAAAATGAGAAGTGAGGCGTGAAGGACCACTTAAGGCTACCCTGTAGTCATTTCATTCATAGACTTTCTGCCCAGTATGTATTCGCTTGTGCATTATAAGGTTAGTGCTGGTGCTGAATGCTTTTCCACACTGAATACATTTATAGGGCTTCTCGCCTGTGTGAGTTCTCACATGGACCCTTAGGCAAGAGGAATTCCTAAAGGCCTTCCCACATTCTTTACACTCATAGGTTTTCTCTCCAGTGTGAGTTCTCTTATGCACAATGAGATAAGAGCCCGTGCTGAAGGATTTTCCACATTGACTGCACTCATAAGGTTTCTCTCCAGTGTGAGATCGTGTATGTTTCTTAAGAGATGACTGATCAATGAAGGCTTTCCCACAGTCACTGCATTCATAGGGTTTTTCTCCAGTGTGGGTTCTCATATGTTTCTGAAGGGATGAAGGAACAGTGAAAGCCTTGCCACATTCCTTACAGTCATAGGGTTTCTCTCCAGTATGAGTTCTTTTGTGCACATTAAGATGAGAGCTCTGGCTGAAGGATTTTCCGCAATGATGACATGCGTAAGGTTTCTCTCCAGTGTGTGATCTCACATGTTTCTTAAGGGAAGACTGAAAAATGAAGGCTTTCCCACAGTCACTACATTCATAAGGTTTCTCTCCAGGGTGGGGTCTCACATATTTCTGAAGAGACAAGGGGCCAGTGAAAATTTGCCCACGTTCATTACATTTTGAGCTTTCCTCCACAGTACACACTTTTTGGTGGACCCTCAGAGAAGATCTTTTCCCATAGTCACTGCATTCACAGAGTTTCTCTCCTGTAGGTATAGGCTCATGTACTGAAGAGGAAGAGTGTAAGCTGAAGGATATAAGACACTGATAACACTCATAAGAATTCTCTCCTGTGAGAGTTCTGAAGCATTTCCTCAAGGATGACTCTTGATTGAAAGCTCTTCCACAATCATTAAATTCAAGAGTTTTTTCTCCAGTGTGAGTAATCACATGACTCCTAAGAGCTGAGGGATGGCTGAAGTCTTCCCCATATTCTTTATATTTGTAGCATTTCTCTCCCTTGCAATATCTTGCACAAATGAGGTGACAGTTCCTTCTGAAGAATTTTCCACAACGATCAAATCCCAAGGGTTTCTCACCAGGGTGAGTTGGTGCCTGTTGAATAAGGAATAAGTGGTGACTAAAGGAATTCTCACTTTCATTACATTTATGGGAATTCTTTCCATGTGGAATCTGCCATATAGAGGAAGCACATTATTATGACTGACATTTTTACCATTTTTAGGGAGTGTGTATAATTTTCGCTCTATTAGTTCTTTCAAGTTGAATAAGCTGAATGCTCTTCCCAAGGCTCCATGATATTCATTACCATCAAAGGGCATCCTAAATATGGAGTTTTTCTAATGAGTGAATGAATGAATTACGTATTAAATACTTAATAATGGAATCACATTTAATTGAATGTTTACTTTTTGGTATTCTCTGCAAGGCACCAAGTGTTGTAGTAGGTTTGGAGATTCCTCCAATTTTATGAGACTCCTAAAGTCTTTCCTGAGACAGCTTTCTGGTGAGTGAATGCCACTTGCCTCAACTGTCTCCCCTTGTTTGAGTGCTGCTGCTGTTTTAATTCATTGAAATTCACAGACTTCTCCTACTGTAAAAAAAACAGCAATCATTCCTAGTGAATCTTACCATTTTTCTGCCATTGGAAGTTTTTTCCCCAGGAACATTTTGCATAGGGATTGCATCTTTTGATCTCAGTTGAGTATCCCAGTCTGAAACTGAATAGGGAAAATTTTTATAATTACTGGGAGAAAAAGTAGAGATGAAAGAAAAAAGGAGGCAGGCACCCTATGGATTTGTTTTCAAATAATAACAATATACATAGGAAGAAAATGTGAAAGAGAAGATGCAACCAGTGACCAGAGAAATTATTTTAGGAACTTGGCTCTGGGAAGAGATGCCAAAGAAAGAACAAAAAAATGGAAATTGGAGGTATTTTACATAGAAAGGATTCTGGAGGCTTGAGACAACAAGAGAGCATATTATCTGAAAAGCAAAGTAGGGAGAACTGAACAAAAAGTATTCAAGGAAATGTGAAATTGAAAGAGGAATTACAACAGTTTTTTTCTCCAAGACCAAATGAAAGTATGAATGAATGGAGAGATGGTAAAAGAAGGAAAGCTCACGTAGTGGCCTCAACCTTCTTTTCCTGCACTGATTAACATTCCCAAATGTACCTCCCCTCACCACCTATGGCTGCTCCACCCAGTGACCCTTCTACCTGGGGCTTACCTGTACAGGCACCTTGGAGAATTCCTCTCTCCTCTGGCCTCAGCTCTTCCTGCTCCACCTCAGTGACCAGACTATGTTTGCAGAGATGATACCCTGCTCATGGGAAAGACACATCATGGGGGACAGACAGGGCACTGTGTAGGAGATAAGAAATCCTTACACAAAACTGATTCTAATACTTTGGTCTTAAAGGATTCTGAAGACAGGTAAGTGCAACTTTAGGACTAGCAAAGCAATCAGATCAGAGCTCTTTCACAAGGGCCCCAAAACAAACCCCCATACTCCACATCCTACAAGGAACTGACCCTTGAAATCCATGCCCAGGATCACAGATATGCTGCAAACTACCTAAATCTTTTAATGACATAGAAAGTGAAATTAGTGCATTTTCATGGGAAGCCACAAGACTGCTGCACAAGGGTAGGGACCACGCATTTTGGGTTTACCACACATTGCCATTCTCCACAGAGATCCTGGAACATGATATGTGATGAAGAACTATCTGGTGCATGAACAAATGCACACATGAAGGAATGATGCCAACCTTACCCACTGATGCCAGGTTTCTAAAGTTCTCCAGCATTACGTCTCTGTAGAGGATTTTCTGAGCAGGGTCCAGCAATGCCCACTCCTCCTGGGAGAAGTCCACTGCCACTTCCTCGAAGGTCACTGAGTCCTAAAACATTGCACACACATTTTGGCTCAGCCAAGGACCATCTCTAATGCTGAACCAGGAGGACGGTGGGTGAGGCTGACAGGACTGGGGAGGGAGACCCAATGCCTAGGAAGCTCAGACATGCCTCAGAGGCCTCCCATTACCGATCCAAGTCTCAGTTCTTGGAACGCTCCTCTTTCTCTCTCACTCCCTGGACCATCTCACTCAGGCTCGTAGTTTTAGCAGCTTTTCTAACACATAGTTGGCCTGACACTTCCACAACTAGGTTGTGAGGACTCTTCCAGTTTTATTCAAGATCAAGTATAGACTGAGCATACTGCAGGATGAGAAAAATACTTGAAAAATGAATGATTTTCCTAGTGAAAAATCTTTCTTTTCTTCATAGCACCCAGCGGAATATGGAACTAATACTTACCCTGGAGGAATATCTGAAAAAATAAAATGAACAAATGTTGTAGGAATAGAAGCCTTTCCTAAGGCATTCTCTCTCCCATTCTAAGAAGACCAGAGAACTGCGGAAGCCTGAGGCCAGCCTGGTTAGGCTGTGAAGCTGTGAGTCAAGGGGAAGAGATGTGTCCTTTGGGAACAGCGATGTATTTTTGGAAACAGAATAATTTCTCACATACCTGTGACCAGGTTCGCAGCAATCCTGCAGCCATCCTTCCTCTGTTGTGTCTCCCTCTTGGCCACGCAGGGTTCTGAGCAAGCAGAGCTAGAGAAGAAGAAAGCAGCAATGAGTCTAGGCTTGACAGATATTCATTACTGACAGGCTTGGAAGCTTCTTCATACCAGCTTCAGAGTAACTACACACACATATAGAAACACACAGGACAGTTCACTGTTAAGATGTTATCTCCTTACCCAAGAACTATTAAGAATTGGGAATATGGTATGTACTTATTTTTTCTTTTTAAACTGTTTCCTAGACTGAACCACCAAAATATGCCTAGCGTCTTTAACGACTCAAGAGCAATGAGCGCTTGTAGTGCCAAAATGCCTCTAAATGCCATTTGCCTGTGAAAGAAAAGAGGACTCATTTGGGAAATAGCTGAGTCTAGTGCAGAACAAAAAACATTCAAGATGAGCCTGAAACATCTTATACCACGAAAGCAAGGAGCCTATCAAAGACTAATGGAGTTGTGTCAAAAAGACACAGGAGACAACTTAAAAGGGCTCCCACTGGCTTCAGATGGAACAATTTAATAAAGAATAATGACTGCTGTCAGTTGAAATATATCAAACGTAAAAGAAAATGATGAGTCCATAACAATACTAAAAAAAAACCTCAATGGTCACTATTGGAGGTGGCCAGGATATCAATTCACCATTCTGAAAATTCATAAAAGGAAAGAATCAAGCATGTATATAGCCCCCTCTCCTTTATGAACAATATTTTATGATTACCAAATAGTTGTGATAAAGAAAAATTCTTCTTTATAGAAGAATCACAGAAGCCTTATTAGAAGCTTCATTTATTATGAAGACAATGCTATTAGAAAGTCACCATTGTGCAACCAGTAGCAAATTAATGATCTAGGCAGTGACTCAATGGCTACTAAAATATTAGGTGAAAAGTGAATGGGGATGTTTCTTTTCAACTTTTAATTTTGAAAAAATTTCAAACTCAAACAAAAGTAAGAATAATGTGAATATGATGAACTTCCATATACTCTTCACACAGACTCTTTACCAACTGTCAAACTTCTGTCATATTTGCTTTCTCTCTGCTCTCTTTGTAGGTAAGGGTGTGTGTGTGTGCATGTGTGTGTTTTAGCAAGAATGATATTGAGAGGAATTCATTTGAGAGGAAACTGCAGATGTCATGACTCTTTTCTCCTACATACTTCAGTGTCATAGGAACTTGGACATTCTCTATCATAATCAAAATGATCAAAACCAGGAACGTTTAACATGGATTTAATATTATTATCCAACATACAGTCCATATGCAGAATTTCACCAACTGGCCCAATCATGTCCTTTATAGCAATCACTTTTTAAATTTCCCATCTAGATCATGCCCTCAAACTATCTTTCTCTAATATTCTTTAATCTGACCAGTCCCTCAGCCTTTCCTCATCTTTCAAGATATAAAGAGTCCAAGCCAAACGTTTTCCAGCCTGTACTTCAGTTTTGGTTTGTCTGATGTTTTCTTATGATTAGATTCAGAAAGTTCATTTTTAGATGAAGCATTACATAATTGATGCAGGTCCTTCTCAGGGCATAACTTCAGGAGACATATGTCACCAGTTTGTCTCATTATTGGCGATAACTTTGATCACTTGGTTAAGGTGGTAAGCAACAGGTTTTTCCATTAAGCTACACTTTTCTCCTTTTGTAATTAATAAGGAATCTTATTAGTTAGGGGATAATTTAAGACTCTATAAATAAGCTGAGAAACTTTATAAAGGAAGGATCAAGCTGACACCAGAACCAAGTGATAAATCTTAACATCACAAAAGAGGCATCTGGACATCACGTGAGTTCTGATATGATGTAACAAGAAACAGCACCAACTGTAAATATTTTTGCCAAAGAAAAAATCTGACAAGTCTTTTCATCTAATTAGCAGTTTACAGACGGAGACAAGGAAGAGAGACTGAGGGACATGTTAAATGACATCATGAGGTTACGATCAGCCAAACCCAGTTTGGGGGAGAAAATGGAATGAGAACTGTTACTAACAGACTTAAGAGATATAACAATCCACTGCAATGTTTGGACCTTGGATATTGATTCGAACAACATCAATGATAAAAACACATTTTGAGACATTTGGGGTGAACTGAACACAGACTGGGTATTAGACAATATAGTTAAAGAGAAAAGCAGCCCCCGACACCCAGGAGCTGCCTGGGAACCATCAGTTAGGTCTGGGTGTTCTCCTGTTGAACATAAACAATTTCACAGAACAGCAACAGCAGACAAGGCTACTCTGGGACCATGATTTATTAACAAAAACAAGGCCACTCTGTATGTCTGAACACAGGCAAAACATAAATTATCTAGGCCTCAAAAATGACCACACATCCCCCTCTTCTGGCTAATATGAGCAACTGCTGTTTCTTTATCAACAACTTTACCTCTGGTCTAGTTTTTCCTCCTCCTAGGTAAGCTTTACTAAGATACGCAATCATAGAATTACCCTCGCTTCCTGACAACATCTAATGCAGAACCCTCCCCCAAAAGCACCTAACACAAACCCAAATCCTTTAAGTCTAACACTCTCTTACTGAGACGTCCCACAGTTCACCATGGTGTGTGTTCTGCCTTGCTGCCATGAGAATAAACCCAACCCATTTAACTATAGGTGTGACCCAACTTGTTGAGCCAAAGACCACTGAAAATATCAAGAACTATGGTTAATTTGGGGGGGGCGGAGGGGTGATAATGGTATTGCGATAATGCTAAAAAACTTCTGTCAAAAGTTTATTCTTATCAATGGATCTATAACAGTTCTCCCTTCCTGTTTTAGCCCCCAACGGGGTTAAGGTTGGTTGTATCCTCATGATGACCTTTTGTTTTAGAGATACAACTCAAATTATGGGTGAAATGATATGATGTCTGGTATTTGGTTTTAAAATGCTCTAGGAACACAAAACTCAATTACAATAGTTAGCTAGGGAAAGAACTGACGTATTAAGAAGGGAAAAATACTGGTAAGCATTGAAGTTGGGTGATGGGTACAGAGAGGCTTCATCATAGCACCCTCCACTCGTGAGTATATCTGAAAATCCATAATTAAAAGTTTTAAAGATAAGAAAGAAACTTTCCATACAGAAGGGAACAGTGAGAAAATATACTGGTCTAGACCTTGGCATCAAATATAGGAGAAAAAGAAAATCTTAGGTTTCAGTCCAAATTCATATTATTTGTGCAGTCTAAAATACCTCAAGAGAATAATTTCATTTAAAGAGGGTCCTAGGTGGCACTGCCCCCAGACAATTAGTGCGAGTAAATGGAGCTATCTCTGGAAAACTCGACTTCAAGCCAGGCCTCACAGATCCAACATATAAAGTTCTAAATAAACTGAGGAAGTCACAGTTAAAACATTTATGAAATGCAAATATACAACGTACCATGGGTGAGAAGCAGCTAAAACACAGGCAGCAGGAAAGAAAAAAGCACAACACTTCAGATATTATTAGACTTTTTCGACATGGAATATAAAAAAACTTATATTTAGCAAGCTTAAAGAAATTAAGAGAAACGTGGATAAATATGGAATGAGACAATAAAAATGGTCAAGTACTTTTAAAAGACAAACATAATTTTTAGAAATAAAAAATATACTCATTGAAGTTAGAAACTCAATGCAAAGACTCACTACCAGATTAGAACTTTGTTACAACATTTGATGAGAAACTAGCTAGAATTTCCTAGAATTAGTAAAGGACACTAACCTCTGGATCCAGGAAGCACAATAAGTCCCAAGCTGAATGAATAAAGGGAAATCCACACCTAGATTCATTATAGTTTTTTCTTCTTTGGTGTTTGATTTTTTTCCCCCACAATCTTAAAAGCAGCCAGGGGAAAAACAGAGGTCACCTAAAAAGGAAAAACAAACCAATGGCTCACTTCTTAAGAGAAACCATGGATATCAGAAGAAAGCAGGACAATATCCTCGGTGTACTGAGAAGAAAGGAACTATCAACCTAGGATTCTAACTCCAGTTAAAATATCTTCTTTAGGTTTAAGGGTAAATTTACAAATTTAAGCCTCAATCTATTCAAGCTTCTTGACCAACTACTTTTAATAGGAGATAGAGAGATAAACCAGTTAAACAACACAAATAAACAGCCAAGTCCATAATGTAGGACAATTTAAGTACAAATGATATCTCCAATAAGTCAATGGGTAAAAAACAAAAACAGAGGGGGCCGGCCCGGTGGCATAGTGGTTGAGTTTGTGCACTCCACTTCAGAGGCTGGGGGTTCACAGGTTTGGATCTTGGGCGTGGACCTACGCACCGCTTATCGAGCCATGCTGTGGCAGGCTTCCCACATATAAAGTAGAGGAAGATAGGCATGGATGTTAGCCCAGGGCCAATTTTCCTCAGCAAAAAGAGAAAGACTGGCAACAGATGTTAGCTCAGGGCTAATCTTCCTCAAAAAAACAAAAACAGAAAAAGAAAAAAGGAGGAGGAGGAGATAAAACTGAAACTTAAGAGAGATATATTCAAAAAACAACGTGGGGACCCTGATAGGATCCTGATTTGAACAAACCAACTGTAAAAACATACTCTGGAGACAATCAGGGAACTTCGCAGTTTGCCAGGTGGGAAAACGCTGTGATGGTTATGTACCAGCTCGAGATGCATACTTAAGTATTTATCAATGAAAGGACATGTTTGGAAGTTGCTGTAAAAAAAAAACACTCCAGAAATAAGAAAAAGCAAGTAGATAAGCTACAAGCATTGTACTATTATCTGCACTATCTAATACAGAAGCCACCAGTCACATATGGCTAACGAGCACTTGAAGTGAGGCTAGTGTTAAGTAATTTAAATTTAAACTTAAATTTAAATACCACACGTGGCTAGTGCATTAGACAGCTCAGACTAGATGATCCAAGATTGGTAAAATATTGACAATTGTCAAAGCTGAGTGCTGACATGAGGATTCATTATACTCTTTTTTCTAGTTTTGTATATGCTTGAAAATTTCCAGATGAAAAGGTTAAAAATTTAAGAGAAGGAGGGTAAAATAA